CATAGCTTTCCTATGATCACATAGCAGCAAATCCCAACACAAAATCACATGAATATTATGAGGCCGATGAAATTCATGTGAAAAATCACATAGAGTTAATGTGATAGCATAAATTTTATGTGAAATTCAGATGAATTCCATTGAATTTGATTATGGATGAAAATCATGTGCATTTCCAATGGCAACTACATGAAAACTATTTTCGGTGTAGTAAAACCATAATCCGAAGGGATTTGGTCACCTGAACATTTCAGTGCCAACATTTCAAAGGGGCGTAATTGCATTTGTAAACAATGGCTTTAGTCGTCGATTTCTCGCGAATGAAAGCTCACTCATGAAAATAAATGACACCAGCACGCAGAGGAATGTTTCCTGTATCAGCTAGCATTTGTAATTTGGAGGTGTAGGTTTTCATTTGCGGGAAATCGACGTCTAAAGCCATTGTTTACAAAAGCAATTACGCCCCTTTGAAATGTTGGCACTGATTTTTGCTATATATATTAGACTAGAGTCGGTGTATAATGAGTCACGCCAAGAGAAAAACAGTTGAACTCGCATCACGGTTTCCGAAGGATTCCTTTTCTCTTCACTTGGCAACAGAGGACTTCTACATCAACTTTAAATGACTTCTAGCGAGAACCAAAAATAACGGCTGTAGTGAATCATAATATCAGTGATTTTGTCAAATTATCTTATCAAAAAATAGTAGAAATTCTCATTACTGATCAAAACCAAACGTATCCCATGACCATTTAATGCTCGCTGCGTGTTTACGATGATTTCTTAAATTTTATTTTATATTTCATTGCAATACCTTTCGTAGACCTTTCATAGCATCGTAATGTTTATTTACTTTGCACGATAGGTAGCCGATTTGACAGTTCAATAGGTAGACTTGGCTTCACTCTTGGCGTGACTCATTATACACCGACTCTAATTAGACCTTTTCATTTTAACAGAAATGTTCGGGATGCTCCGGGTCAACCGTGATTACTGTTCGTTATGTTAATTTGAACTTCTGTGCAAATTTTTAGCAAAATCGGTGATGATTTAGAGGTGCTTCGTGTTAATTTTATGTTTTAAGGTAATTTACGGCTTATAATATTTGTATCTCGAGACTGAAACAATGAAAACTGCTGTAACAACTTTCATAGCAAAGCTTAATGTGTTATCTACCAACTTTGTGACTAAAGGTTGACTATTCAAAGTTATTTTATTGAAGTTTGACTAAGTTTAATACTCGAAGATATCTTAAAAAGTAAAGATTTTTAAAGTATTTGTTCTACGAACTTTCCACCCATATGATATAAAAATGTGTAGTCTACGGTATAATGTTCTTTATACTGTTCTAAAAATTTCGTTGAAACATAGTTTTCGTGTAGATTCCATAAATTGAGAGATAAAAATCAGAAAAGAGGCCGTTATAGCTGAAATTCACAAGACAACAAAGCCAATAAAAGTTTCAATTAGATTGACAGAACATAGTTGCATTGCTTTTCAATGACGACCAATGACTGTTTCATTGATAGATGATTTTTTTAGAAATATGAATCCTCAGTAGACGTGTTTTTTAATCAGATGCAAGTGTCGCTCAAGCCATCCAAAATGTTCATTATTTTATAGTATATTGCTGTTAAACACGTCTACTGAGGATTCATATTTCTAAAATAAAATATATGTATACATTTTTGTTTTTGTTTTATTATAGTCATTTTAACGCTCTTGGTTCATTTGTGACTTGTACGGGGTGAGATTTGAACTCGTGACTTTGGCGTGAGAGGTATGGATGCTAATCACTACGCGGGGTCACCCCCGAATATTAATATGTAATATAGTCATGCTGTTATGATTTTCCTAATTGTTGAATTGTAAAAATAAATTAAAGACATGGTCAAATGAAAGCTCTTTTCATGTTCATTCGTACGTGTGTAACTTTCAAACATACACGCGACGAAAAGACGACGAAAAAATTTATCAATTGTACATCCATTGTAAATAATGGGAGAATAGTGTCTTTGAGGATGGTCTGTGTTTTTGTATTACAAATAACTTTGTAGAACATAGTGTAGTTCTAGAAATTTACACGACTTTGACAAAGTTGTTTAAAATAAGTTTTTGTCAAAGTGGTACCAGTGGTTGAAAATGTAAATTTCGTGTGCTTAATTGTTAGCGTAGTGGTTTTTGATTTTAACAAACATTGTTCTAGTCTATCTCAAATTGCTAAATAGTTGATACATACTACGGTCAATCGACTAGTAAGTCAAGCTATTGTTTGGCAATCTTTGAAAGAAGATACTGAGAATTAAACCACACATGATGGGCAAGACACGTGCGTCTGAGGAAGTTTGCGAAACACAATTTACGGCATCCTGTAGGATTTAACCTATATATCCCATTAAGTATACCGGTGCATTATCAATTATGCAACGGGTATCGACAATGTACATGAAATACTCGGTTAATGACGTATAAGAAATCAAATCCATCACCCACACACAGTACCATACTTAATTCGCAAACGTTTTACACACCCGCCTCCTGATGATGATGTGTTCCTGTACCGCTCTATTCAATTTTCCATTATGTCTATGGGAAATCAGTTGAGGAACACATGTCACCGGGGGCACCGTATTGAGATTGTACGACCTTCATCCAGATGTCCCGGATTGCAATACATATATCGTTGATGCTGGGAAAATACGGTGATGTGAAGCGTGTCGTTTGGGAGAAATTCCCTTGGGCCTCGATATGTACACAGGTGTTCCAAGCAGGGTTACTTCAACTCACTTGCTATAAAAATGCAATTTTGAAATCATGAGATGGTATAGCGATAATTAGTACTTGGAAGAGGACGTGAAGTATGTGGTTGACACATACAATCTGTCAATATTGCTTTCAGTGCGTCACAATCAGCGATTTTACGGCTCGTGAGTGCTCACTCTGAGTGAACGCTCACGAATAATAAGATCGCTTATTGTGACGCTCTGAAAGCGAAATTGACAGGTTTTATGAGTCAAGCACATGCTTTACAACCTTTTCTCGTTACTTACAAGTACCGTAAAACGGGGTATCTTCGATAATGCGGGTAACTTTGATAGTATAATATAAAAATTAAATTTACTCGCTGCGCTTGTTCCAAATTGGAAACATTGGTTCCATATTGTAGCTTAGGGTATTTCCGTTGATATCGTGTTTAGTTTTTATATAGTATGTGCTACATATCTTACAAACATATTTAAAAACTATTTTCGTGTTTCTGGTCTGTTTGAAAAAGCACTCAAACCATCACTTATTAAATGTATTTCCGATATAGCCATCACAAATTCAATGCTGTATTCATATTGCTTATGATGTTTTCTGATTATATACGCATTCAAAATTTCATATTTAAAGAACTACAATGTTTGAGTTTCACTCATTTTTTTTCTACATTCATCGAGCATTATCAAAGTAACCCCAAATCAAAACACTGAAGTTCGGTAGCAAAACTTTAAAAAATGTACAAATGCTTTAATTCCCATTAAACAAATAAACTTTTGGATCCTCAGTACTTGTTTTAAAAATATAAAATTTGGAAAACATTTATTGCTGTAAACAATATTTAGAATATATGTACTTTAAAAAAACTATCAATGTTACCCCGTTTTACGGTACAACATATCATTATATCATCTTATGATTGCATTATTCCGAAACATATGTTTTATAGCAAGTGAGTGGAAGCAACCCTGGTCCCTGGGGGCGACCCCGGCGTAGTGGTTAACATCCATACCTCTCACGCCAAAGTCACGAGTTCAAATCTCACCCTCGGACAAGTCACGAATGACCCACGAGTGTTAAAGTGACTATAATTAAAAAAATAAAAAAAAATAATATAATAATAACCCTGGTCCCAAGTAACACTTATCATGCAAGTATGTTGAGTAAACTCGTTTACAACCTAATCATGTTATGTGATGGTTATGTAAACTGTTATAGAACTTGTGTGTTGCTTGTGGTTTGGGGTTTATATATGGACGCAGCATTTCCTCAATCGAAAAGGAAACAAACATTTGATTTTCCTTTGTAAGATGGAAGGGTATCGGATGAATTCCTGCCCCAAGTGGAAAGATCGGAAGCAGCCACTTCAACAACAAAAGTAAGAAGAAAATCAACAACGGAATGAAGAAGAGAGCAGTACCAGTTAAGCTGGTGAAGGGACTAAAGCTGCATCGCCAAACTACAAAGAGGGGGATGGATGTGACGTATCCGAATTCCGAGAAGAACAATGGAGAGGAAGCATGCGATGCTTTGAAACAGCAGCCGTCTGTTTTCAAATACAAGAATGCTACGAATTATTACTACAAAGTTATGATAACTATACAGAGAAGAAGCGGATAAAGGACGAAGAGGAGGCTAATCGGCGGGCACTGTTGAAGAAAAAACAAGGAGTTGAAGGAAGAAGCAAGAAAGTTGAGGGCACGGCAGAAACCGAAAGCCAAGCTCATGTCGCCTCTCAGGAAGAGTAAGAAGAATTTATATACAATGTTCCTCATTAATACTTTGATTGTAATTATTTATACAATTATGTACTGGTTCTCGGTTCCGTGGAATCCTTTTGGACATTTGAGCCTTCACAAATAAACTAATTAAAAAAAAACAGCACACATCAATCTGTAATTTCTGCAATCCCGCCGGTTGCCGTCAATGTTTTTGCAAACTTTCTCATACACACGTGTCCTGCTCATCGTGTGTGCTTTGCTTCTCAGTATCTTCTTTCCAAAATAACCATACAATATTGATATTTTGAACTCATTGACCACCCTATACATCAACATATAGGCAGAAATAAAAGGAAAAACAATCCCGAAGACAAAACTAACCAGAAACTAATCGTTCAGGTGCAAACAAAATGCGGATTTGGAACCAAACGTGGTTTCAAACTGTTTATAACATTAAGATAAAAATTATACTTGCATATAAAAACTATAACATTAGAAATATTCCTTTAATCTCTTCAGATCATGATGCAAATGATTCCCTGTCCCCAACTCATACCAACGAGTCCAGATTCACCCCAGAGCAATCTGTGGACAGCAATAAGAACTACAGTCAAGAAAATAGCCAAAGCAGTGCAAATAACCTATGTACCATATGTAGCGATCGGGCAACCGGAAAACATTACGGAGCTGCATCTTGTGATGGCTGTAAAGGATTCTTTCGGCGCAGTGTCCGCAAGAACCATTCATATACTTGCAGGTTAGTTCCCGATTGAATACTGAGTAATATGTTTGAATATTTCAATTGATTTTATTTTATTTCAGATTTTCCCGTAACTGTGTCGTTGACAAAGACAAGCGTAATCAGTGTAGATATTGTAGGCTAAGGAAATGCTTCAAAGCTGGAATGAAAAAAGAAGGTGAGTAAAAATTAGGATGCCAATGGATCAATGAAAATGCTGCGACTTTGACAGAACTGTGCTGTGGTTAACCCAGTATTTTACATTTGATCGTCCATATACAGTAGCGCCAAAAGGATGCTGTGGTGGGTTCAAAACTTGACCATCTAAATTGATCAATTAGAAACTTTAGGGTTACGCACGGCTTAAGCAGAAGATATTCTATTCCAAGTACGGGTTTTTTTTTCTGAAGAAAATTAATCGAGAACCCGTTCAAAAGACTTGCTGTAGAAAGCGAGCCTTGACCCTAACTGCAATAGAGTCTGCCCTGCTTAAGGTGTTCGACACCCTTTATCGTTTTATGTGTTTTTATTTCAGCTGTTCAAAATGAAAGAGACCGGATTAGCTGTAGGCGTCCAAGCCTTGAGGAGGTTGATACATCAAATGGTTTATCAGTGAAGTTTTTGCTCCGTGCAGAAAATTTTAGTCGCCATTTTGGCGCAGCATTAGATGATGCAAACGATGGTGATGGTGATTTATCGAATAAGAGATTTGCTAGTATAAACGACGTATGTGATTCAATGAAGCAACAATTGTTAATTTTGGTCGAGTGGGCTAAATCAATACCAGCGTTTGCTGAACTACAGCTTGATGATCAAGTGGCATTACTGAGAGCCCATGCAGGAGAACACTTGCTATTGGGTCTATCGAGACGATCAATGCATCTGGATGAAATGCTTTTGTTAGGAAACAACTGTATCATAACGAAACAATGCCCGGATTCGAAAGTGGCACCGAATCTCGATATATCTAAAATAGGGGCAAGGATCATCGATGAACTCGTCAGTGCCATAAAAGATATAAAACTCGATGATTCAGAGTTAGCATGTGTCAAAGCTTTAGTTTTCTTCGATCCAAGTATGTATATCGCATTATTTTTTAAATATTATCTACAATCCCAGGTATCAATAATCTACAGCATTCTTGGTTTTGCTCATTAATGACTTTGCACTCAGTTGACGAAATGTAAATTTTCCAGATTTTCTTGATGCAATCAATAGAATATAAAACTCATACTTGCATCATTCTTCGAATGTATGACAGACTTGGTTAAACCTTTTTCGGTACCTCAAAACAGGGTATCTTTGATAATGCGGGTAACTTTGATAGTATAATATAAAAATTAAATTTACTCGCTGCGCTTGTTCCAAATTGGAAACATTGGTTCCATATTGTAGCTTACACACTTAATCTAGCTCGGTAAAATCTCCAACAGCCGATTACCTCGGCATTTACTTTTGCTGATATCTCTGCAAAATATCTGTTTGTTAGCTGATATCTCAGCAAAATATTATTTGTTAGCTGAGTCTCGGCAATTGTTTAACTGAATCTCAGCAAAATAAATTGCAGAATTACTCGGCTGTTGGAATCTCGGCGAAAATTTTTAAGTGTGTAGGGTATTTCCGTTGATATCGTGTATAGTTTTTATATAGTATGTGTTACATATCTTACAAACATATTTAAAAACCATTTTCGTTTTTCTGGTCTGTTTGAAAAAGCACTCAAACCATCACTTATTAAATGTATTTCCGATATAACCATCACAAATTCAATGCTGTATTCATATTGCTTATGATGTTTTCTGATTATATACGCATTCAAAATTTCATATTTAAAGAACTACAATGTTTGAGTTTCACTCATTTTTTTTCTACATTCATCGAGCATTATCAAAGTAACCCCAAATCAAAACACTGAAGTTCGGTAGCAAAACTTTAAAAAATGTACAAATGCTTTAATTCCCATTAAACAAATTTCTAGCGAATACACTTTTGGATCCTCAGTACTTGTTTTAAAAATATAACATTTGGAAAACATTTATTGCTGTAAACAATATTTAGAATATACTTTAAAAAACTATCAATGTTACCCCGTTTTACGGTACCTATTTTTCTCAAAACAAATTTCAAATCACTTTCAGTCTTTAAAAAATCGAATGAAAAAAAAAATGATCAAGTTTTGCCAACGTGATGTATCCAAGTAGTCAACAAAGCCGCTAATTGCGTTTTTGCAAGGTGGATATATAACTAATATAAAAATTGGAAACTTTACACTAACCTTATACTACAAATATGGCGAATAGTGGACAGTTATCGGGCTTGTCGGTTACTTGGGGAGCTTATATTATTTGGAAGCTTTAAATCTAGTTTCTGAGTGTGTAAACTTAATAATACGTAAATATATTAAATATTTGTTGATATGCATTAAGGCGTTTCTTATTTCTGTGTTAATATAATGTGCGACTCTAGTTGACACACAACGATCTTCCGAGCCGCAACCTGTCTAACTCGCATGCTTCACTAAGAATAATCTTCATGGTTATTTCAGGAATACTTTCAGCAGATCTGAATAGTATCTATCCTTAGCCACATGTGAAAAGGGCATACAAGCTTTTTGTAAACAAACGTTTGTGGGCCCTTTTCTCGCCAACTGAGGGTCGCCTACGCAAAACAACAATATCATCGGGAAGGGGAATGCTTCTCCTACCCGTTAATCTTGATGGTTTGCGTTGGTGTCATGTGGGTGGCGAGGAAAGGGCATAAGAAGGTTTGTTTACAAAAAGCTTGTATGCCCTTTTCACATGTTGTTCTTGATATGCGCTAAAAAAAATAGTAAACATATTTATTGCTGAATGTATGCGGCTACATGCTGTTATATAAAGCTTATTTTCGGCTTAATGAATTTTCGTTACTAAAATGCGCTTTTGGAAAGAACAATGTTAAACATGCTGATGCATAAACTTAGATCGTAAGGATTCTATTGATTGATATAAAAAAATACGAATACGTGTGATGCCCCATATACCACCTAAATAAGAAAATAATATGCGGATAAAGGTATTAAATCTCATTTTTCTTGCAGCAGTGAGAGGCCTCAACCAACCCCAAAAGATTAAGGCTTTACGGCATCAAGTTTTGAACAACCTTGAAGATTACGTTTCTGATAAGCAATATGACTCTCGGTAAGTACCTTTTTAGATCGTAATGATCGTACACATTTACATTCAACAATCAGTGCTTTAAGAAATATATATATGCCTGCATTTGTATGAACACAAATCAGCAACAATTGAAACAATTTTGAAAGCACGTTAAATAATTAACCACATTACAATTAGCAAATTATGTTTATCGTTCCCTCCCCTTGGCTAGTTTTTGCACCTTGTTGCTGGTGGGCGGGCTTAATTTCATGCTTTTTAGTGGAGTGTTGGAGACGGTAGGTTTATGGCCGGCGTTGCTGGCCCATGCCGCGATAGAATGGCACCATGGGCAGGCAATGGGGATTACTAAGCTTCCCCTCTCTGATAAACCACTGCATGAGAGAACCAAAGATCTAGTCTAGCAGTGATAGTATCACACTTGTTACACTTGTTACTTGTTACTGTCACACTTGTTACTTGTTACTGATTGAGAGCCGCGTCGTAGTACGCTTACGTATAGGCACTGACGTTGGGTGCGATACTGGCGGGTTTTGCCGCAAATCACTCTTATTTTTTTTAAACGCAGATGGATTTATTTGGGTTTGCAAGGGAATTATACTATTGAAATATTTCAGAAAGTGCCCAACAGTGCTCCTTCTATTTGCGTGACAACCTTTCATTGTTGTTTTCATTTCACTCAGGGAACGTTAAACACCATTTTTGTACATGGTATTGTAACTAATCTTATATGTGCTTCATTTTGATTTGGGACAAGTGTTTGAACTATGACTCGGGATTTCCACTGTGGTGTGCTTCTATTGTGACATACCCATATGTATTTTTGTGGTGTGACATAGTGGAAACGTGAGAGCGTAATTGGAACATTTACCCTATACTATATACAATTTAAAATTAGCTAGGAAACTAACTTCAAAGTGAAGCATTTTAGTCACTTGAAGGTGTCACCTGGGACGAACAAAGATATAATTAATATATGTCAAAGCCAGAAGTACTTGAAACACGTTAAATTTTAGTTTAAAAGCATGGGTTATGATTGTGTAGGTAGATTAGAGATTTTAGTTATTTATTATTTTATACTTTCAAAGTGTTTTTATGTTACTTCATACGCGAAGTTAACGATTTTCAGAGTTGGTTGGAAATGCTAACATGAAGCTTTAGTGTGATGATTTATTAGCTAGAGAATGATCTTTAGAAGAGGGTAGGTGGATAGTTCCGTTAGAGTACGGCAGTATGAAAATTGAATAGAAGTTGAAAATGAGTGAAGGGCCATTAATGCGACAGTTTTTTCAAGATAGACGCACATTTTTGCCTAACCCGTACGATGTACGCGGAGACTTGAAGTATGTCTCCAAGTCCACAGGCAAAAATGTGCGTCCCTCTTATTGCTCATAAACTGACTGCGGCTGTGGAATAGTTCTAGCGACGTTTTCATCACTACCTAAAGCCCCACGTTGCGAGAGCATTTCCAGTCGATGGTGTGTTATAATGCAGTTCTTCTTTACCCAACTATTGTGTTGCTCCTCTCGTCATGACCAACGTGATCATCTCAGAGAGAAAGCAGTAGGGTGATTGTTGCGTACTGTACCATCATCAGCATTGTTGACGGCTATTTGATAAATAATCAAAAAGTGGTAAGTTAAAATCATAGTGGAGCCAAGGATCATGAGAGGTAATTGTCAATAATTCATTAATTAGTAGAAATCTCGATAGCTTTTTCAAAGGGACGGCTTTTGTGGGCAGTGCATTTGATTGTCGATTTGATGTAGCTGGTGCCTCGCCCACGCGTGCTAGCGCTACCATCAGATAGGGGAAATTTTCCTCTGATACGTCCCTTTGAAAAAGTAATCGAGAAATAACCTATAATTGATATTACTATTTTTATATATCAATGAAATTAGTCATGACAGAGTAACAGAACGAGTTTAAAAACAGATGGGGAAGGACAATTTACACAAGTTGACACAATACACAAGACAAGTTGGGGTTAATACACAAGACAAAAAGACAAAATAAGTGACGACAGAAGACAAGACTGGGACAAAAATCAATCTTTTAAAAAAACAAGAATGTGCAATTATATTATCAAAGTGCTTTCCCAGATCATATTTCGCCGTTTATCGCCGCTAGCATGCAGATTTGTGGGAAGTTATCAAGCCGATTTTTTGGACGGGCGATCGAGAACGGACCAAATCTTTACGTTGCGGCAGATCCTCCAAAAGTGTCGTGAATTTAAAGTCCCTACCCGAACAGAGAATGAAAACAAAATGAAAACTAAGTTTGATATTTTGATATAAGCGTTCGTGATAACATATTTTGCCTACCGTGTGGTCGAGTTAACAGTAATCATAACAAAAATGAGATCTGAATGGTATATGAAGGATATTAAAAAGATAACAAATTATGTTTTCTTGATAACAAATCCATGTATGCGTTTTGATATTAGTAATTTCGTTAATAATAAACAAAATAAGTATTTAATATGTTATTATAACTATGGTAGGAAAACAGAAAAAAAAAAAAAAACTAAATTAGTTATTATTTTGATATCATGATATCAAATTTGGTAATCTGAATGTTTTGAAATCATTTGGTTGTGAATGGTGCGATATTAAAGTACAGAACTGGAAATAATCATCCAGTGGTACCCATTACAAGAAAGTATATAATGAATCACTTTTGTCATTATAGACAAATAACAAAAGTTAAAATATGACGAACGATTGAAGTTTATTAGATATAATAGCATAGAAATAGACGATGTGAAGTTTTTAAGTTTAGAGTTTCGTTTTCATGACGAATTCTAGTGGAATTATATCAATATAGGAATAGGACACACGAATTGTGTAAAAAATTAGTCCACGATGACTGATAAATTCCTTCGCATCGAACATATTTTAACAGACAATGACGATATTTATTTTATTGGGAGAGAACTGATAATTAATAAAATTTATGACAACATATTTAAATATGAGCTTAGAAACCGACTAAGTCTACGAAAGTTAAATTGCAATATTCGACAATGAATTAGTATAAGTATTACTGGACGCAATCAACTATATATCGATTTGTAAATTCAATTCACAGGCAGATTAATATCAATAAATGTTGTAAAACAACACTGTATGAACCATAATTGTCTTTGTGATGTTCATAAAGAAACCTGATTGACTCGTAAGAAGAAAAAATAAAAATATATGTAGATTTCAGTGATAAGTGTGGATGCGTTTTTTTTTATAAAATATCAAATTTTGTTTTAAATAATATTTTTAGAAATATCAAAACAAAATCAAATTATGAATTCAACCGAAATAAATAAATTAATTTTTTTTGATAGTATTTTGATATCCGACTTTGCTCGGGTACGCACCACCTATTCATCGATTTCAAGGCCGCTTGTGATACTATTGACCGTGAAGAGCTATAGAAGATTATGGACGAGAACGGTTTTCCCGAGAAGCTGACCAGACTGATCAGGGCTACGATAGATGGTGTACAGTGCTACGTGAAGATATCAGGTGCGTTATCGGACTCGTTTGAAACTCGCAAAGGACTTCGACAAGGCGATGGTCTTTCCTGCCCCCTGTTCAACATTGCGCTAGAAGGTGTTATGCTGGAAGTGACTTTCTATCTTGAAGAGTTTTAAAAATTAATTTAACATTTTGGTGGTAAACACACACACAAACAGTATGTGTGCCACTCGTTCCTGCCACAATGCACTGCTTAGGGCTGATACTTGCAAACTTTGAAAAAACTATTTTAGTTGCGGGATATTGATCCTTGAAAATGGCATAAACTTCTTGCAAATTACACAATTCTAATCTTCGTTGTATATAAACCTTACCATCAACATTTTTTTGTAATAACATAGTCGCGTTTTCCTGGACAGGCTCGGCTTATTTCGTCACTGGTATAGAAATCACGCACGAGTGATAAAGTTTCTTCTGCTAAAGACGCCCTGCTCAGCTTTCTTCCTGGTGTCGTCATTATCCCCTTGTTCTCCTGTAGTGTTTTGGTCCGATCCGCCATATATTAAACACCAAATTCCTTCGTTATTTTATATGCTGACCAGCTTCTAGGTAAAGTCGTGAAAATGCGATACTTCTCATTATTATCATGAGTTTCTAGAAACTTTTCCTTGAGTTGCTGAATGATTTCATCATCGTTTGTAGTAGGCACACTGTCAGTACTTCTGATCGATTGTAAACTGGGTTCTTCTATAGTGACTCTGTGAATGAAGTTAAAAAAAAAACATATTTGACATTACTGTAAACACTACACTACATTCGAGCCTGACGTTACAAGGTTTTCAGAATGCTATAATGTGACGTTATGCTCGTTTGACTCATGGCTACCAATGTAAATACATTTTTTAAATAAAATATTCTCATTCCGCATCGTGCTCTTTTGCCGTGCGGATCTATTTGCTTTTTGCTGAAGGAAGTGTTACTACTACCTAAAGCTACAACAAATTTAAACAGCACTTTTCAGTGCTCAGCCTGTAAAATGTCTACCTTGTTTAATTCTTATTCCTCTTCGATCCTTGTTTGGACCCTACCCGTGGTAATCCTTCTTGGATATCGATTTGGAAAATCCTCTTCGATCCTTCAGATTCTTATAGTAATCTGCTTGGAAGTCGATTTGGATAAAAATTTACTGCCGCCATGGTGCCTAAACGCAAAAGAAAAGGGCAAACTCTTGATCCCCCTTCTGATGAAATTAATTTGAGTAATCAATTTGAGTAATCAATTTGATTTGCTCACGGATGATAAGAATGATCCATCATCCAAGAAAAATTCTAGTAAACTTTCCCGGCTTAATGCCACGAAGGAAAAGATTCCCCCTATTGTGATGACCACTTCCGATTTCCATGCTCTTCGCATGGAACTTTTGAACTTCGTGAAAGTTAAGTTTTCACTACAAATTGGACGTCGGGTTGAGAAGCAGCACAAATGTTTTACTTACGACACCAAAACTGAACGTGTGTTCAAGGTTGCCATGAAAGGACTGCCCAGTGGTGAATCCCTGGATCAGATCAAAGATGAACTGGCAAAATTACTTGGAGTTGTACCACTCCAAGTAATCAAAATGAAAATGAAATCCCGTTCTGGCGATTCGCGCAACGGGATTCCTAATGATTTTTATTTAGTTCACTTCAAGTCTAGTGAACTAAACAACCTTAAGAAAAAGCTAGCCTTATGCTCCATGTCCGAGTGAAGTGGGAACACTTGAGGAAGACTGGAGGAAATTTCCAAAACCTCACCCAGTGCCGTAAGTGCCAGAGATGGGGTCACGGAACTAAAAATTGCTACATGCCAGCTAAATGCATGAATTGTGGTGATTCCTCTAACACAAAGGACGACTGTCCTGTGAAGGAAGATCCTAAGAAATTTAAATGTTCAAATTGTGGTGAAAACCACAATTCCAATTTTTGGGAATGTAAGACTCGCGATCCTACAATCTCGTTCTAAAGGGCCACCCATATTAGATCCGTTTACGTTGCGTTGACGTAAATTTGATAGTTAGACAATAGATTTAGCTGTCACTTTACCGCAACGCGTCCGATCCGGATCTAATGTGCGTGGGCCTTAAGCGACAGGTAGGAAACGCTCCATGTTTCGGACCAGGTACAAATTAATCTGCTGTTAACAACGGTCAGCGAGGAACAAATTCTACATTCCTACCCGTAGGTACAAATATCACCCCTGCTTCAAATTTTTCATCTATACCTACTCCCCTCGCTGCTAACAATGTTCAGCGAGTTAATGGAGCTACCTATGCTGCTATTGCATCGGGTAGAAATCAAAATACTAACCAACGTAATTCTAACGGAAATTTTGAAAATTTTGACGTAGGAAGCATTACTGCCTCTAAAATGGATTTTTTCAGAAATCATTAATTGACATGATTTCTGATATGCTTAAATCTAACTCCATATTTGATGCTATTCAAACTGGAGTAAAATTTGCAAACAATATTGTCATGACTTTAAAATTCAGTAATGGATTTTATAGCATTAAATAGTTTAAATTGGAATGCTCGATCTCTTAAAGATAATGAAGACGAGCTATTTAACTTTTTGAGAGTTCATAACGTGCATATTGCCGTTATAACTGAAACGTTCCTTAAACCTGACCATAAGGTTTAGAAGGACTTCCCACCGAAGCACCGCTCATCGAATAATGCTCAAAGCAATTCCAATGGTAATATTCTGTTTGACGATTGTTCTGCAGGTTATTGCACTATTCAATATCCAAAAAGCCCAACATGCTTTTCTTCTGCAAGAAATCCCTCAACTATTGATTTGGACTTAACTGATTCATGTCGACTTTGTAGCCAATTGGTTACTCATGCTGACTTCGGTTCTGATCACCTTCCAGTAACTTTTGAAATATCCCAAGAAATAATTTGTAATCCCAACAGCTCTTCTTTCAATTACCGTAGAGCTGATTGGGAGCATTATCGAATATATATGTAATATAACTTCGATTCAAACATTCCATTTCCAACCAAAGATGAAATTAATTATGCTCTTGAATCTCTGACTACTTCTATAGTTAAACCAAGAGCTGCATCAGTACCAAAATGCGAGGTTAAATTCGATTAAATTATAATAGACGACGATCTTCAACTCTTGATCCGTATTAAAACTGTCCGTAGGAGACAATATCAAAGAACACGCGATCCTACCATGAAAGTTATCTGGCGGGATTTGCAAAATCAAATAAAAAAGCGATTATCTGCCCTGAGGAACAAAACTTTTGAAAATAATGTTTCTAAATTAGACCCGAGTTCCAAACCCTTTTGGAAACTCACAAAATTTTTGAAAAAGCATCAGAAGCCTATTCCAGCGCTTAAAGAAGGTGGTAAAATTTTGATGACAAATTTAGAAAAAGCTCAGAAACTTGCTGAGCATCTCGAGTTTCCATAATTTCAGTTTGGGTCTTACTAGTCCTACTGAGAATAAGGTTGCTCGGGATTATCTGAATATTTTCTCTCGGGAAAATATTTTCGATGATTCCTGGGGGACTGATTTGGATGAAGTAAGATCTATAACTAAAAAGTTTCATAATATGAAAGCTCCAGGTGATGATGGAATTTTCTATATCCTCATAAAAAAAAACTCCCAGAGAGTACCTTGTCTTTCTTGGTAAAATTATTGAACAGATGTTTCCATTTGGCATACTTTCCTGATAAATGAAAAAATGCAAAAGTTGTTCCAATGTTGAATCCGGATAAAAATCCAGCTGACGCTTCTAGCTACCGTCCAATAAGTTTGCTTTCTTCAATAAGTAAACTTTTTGAAAAGATAATTTTAAATAGAATCAATACGAACTCAATTATTGCAGATGAGCAGTTTGGATTTCGCCATGAGCATTCAACTACTCATCAACTCTTAAGAGTTTCCAATTTAATTCGTTGAAACAAATCTGACGGCCACTCAACTGGAGTTGCTCTTCTAGACATAGAAAAAGCATTCGACAGTGTTTGGCATGAAGGTTTGATTGCTAAATTGAAAAAGTTTAATTTTCCACTCTATATTATGAAATTAGTTCAAAATTATTTAACTGACAGAACTATGCAAACTTCCAAATCTAATCGACTAACCGTTAGAGCAGGAGTTCCTCAGGGTAGCATTCTTGGGCCTATATTGTATAACATTTTCACTTCGGACCTCCCTGATTTGCCTCAGGGTTGCCACAAATCTTTGTTCGCTGATGACACAGGCATTTCCGCAAAAGGAAGAAGTCTTCGTGTTATTTTCAGCAGGCTGCAGACAAGTTTAGATATTTTCTCTTCTTATTTACAAAAAGGCAAGATTTCTCCCAACGCTTCCAAAATTCAACTTATAATATTTCCACATAAGCCTAGAACTTTCTTTTTGAAACCTAGTAGTAGTCACATAGTCGCTTTGAACGGAGTTCCAATTTCCTGGTCAAACCAAGTGAAATATCTTGGATTAATACTTGACCAAAAATTAACTTTTAAAGATCACATTGAGGGCATTCAAGCCAAATGTAACAAATATATCAAATGTTTGTATCCTCTTATAAACCGGAAATCCAAACCTTGCCTGACGAATAAACTTCTAATATTTAAACAAGTTTTTAGACCGGCCATGCTTTACGCTGTGCCAATATGGTCTAGTTGTTGCACTACCAGGAAAAAAGCACTTCAAAGGATTCAGAATAAAGTTCTGAAGATGATTTTGAAGTAGCCTCCCTCCCTTGGCTAGTTTTTGCACCTTGCTGTTGGTGGGCGGGCTTAATTTCATGCTTTATAGTGGAGTGTTGGAGACGGTAGGTTTATGGTCGGCGTTGCTGGCTCATGCCGCGATAGAATGGCGCCATGGGCAGGCAATGGGGATTACTAAGCTTCCCCTCTCTGATAAACCACTGCATGAGAGAACCAAAGATCTAGTCTAGCAGTGATAGTATCACACTTGTTACTCCTTTTATTGAGAGCCGCGTCGTAGTACGCTTACGTATAGGCACTGACGTTGGGTGTGATACTGGTGGGTTTTGTCGCAAATCACTCTTATTTTATTTGCTTTTTACGCAGATAGATTTATTTGGGTTTGCAAGGGAATTATACTATTGAAATATTTCAGAAAGTGCCCATCAGTGCTCCTTCTATTTGCATGACAAGCTTTCATTGTTGTTTTCATTGAGGTATTACTCAGAGAACAATGTTAAACACTATTTTTGTACATGGTATTGTAACTAATATTATATGTGCTTCATTTTGATTTGGGATAAGTGTTTGAACTATGGCTCGGGATTTACACTGTGGTGTGCTTCTGTTGTGACATACCCATATGTATTTTTGTGGTGCGACATAGTGGAAACGAGAGAGCGTAATTGGAACATATCTATATATATATAAAAATTAATTTCTGTCTGTCTGTCTGTCTGACCCTTATAGACTCGGAAACTACTGAACCGATTGGCGTGAACATTTGTATACAGGGGTTTTTGGGGCCGTGCAAGGTTCTTATGATGGTTCGAGACCCCTCCCCCTTCTGTAAGGGGGGGCTCCCATACAAATGAAACAGAAATTTCGGCATAACTCGAAAACTAATCAAGCAAATGGAACCAAATTAGGCATGTGGGGGCGAGTGGGGGGGTATAAGGAGATAATCATATGGGGTAGCCCCTTAGATAATAGGGGGGGGGGCTACGTACAATATAGCATGCTTTTTTTTTAAATCGGCGCATAAACTCAAGCTAATATTGAATCCCGAGCAAGACCGGGCACACTCAGCTAGTACCCTATATAATTTAAAAATCAGCTAGGAAACTAACTTCAAAATGAAGCATTTTTGTCACATGAAGGTGTTACCTGGGTCGAACTAAGATATAATAAATAGGTATAGGCTTAAATCAAAAGTACTTGAAACACGTTTAATTTTAGATTACAAGCACAAGTGCAGGTACTTAATAAAGCATGGGTTATGATTGATTAGGTGAATTAGAGCTTTTAATAATTTATTAAATTAGACTAATGAGATATCATAATCATCAAATGAACTTAAATAAGAAACTTCAGAAAGTCTAATGACATTAAGTAGATGAACAAAAGAATTAGGATGCGGGGGGTCCGCTTAGGGAGGTAACTAACCTTTAAAGTTGTAGAATAAATCTTCTTATTTAGTCTTGAACTTTAAAAAGAAAACGCAGGCAGACCAATAGCATTAAGCAGATTCACAAGGAGAGGAATAGTTTAGGAAATAAAAAAAGGAAAGGAATGTGACAATTAATAGCTTTTAAACTTTTGGAGGTATTGCCCTGAGTTTGTTGTACTTGATTACTATATTATTCTCTCAATGCGCGAAATCTCTTATATATGCGGTTAAAGCATTTGAGTTAACTTATTTCTTAGTGTTCAAGTACTTACATTTTTAAACAGCAGTCAATGTTAATCTATGTATGAACTAAACCCTACGTAAAATCGATCTTTCCTTATGTGGTATTGATGCATGTTTAACTTTTCGTGGCTGTCGGAATCAACGCGTCTACGTCTACGGAGCTTACGCAGAAGTGATTCGCAATGCGGTAGATCTCAGCAAAAGTTTTTTTTGAGCTTCTGTAGTATAGAATTTGTTAGGTACGGTCGCGAAATCTTGAAATGATTGATACGTGCGGTAAAATAACTAAATTGAAACAAAGCTCAACAGTAAAATAAGTAGAATATTTAGGGAGGAAACCAAAATTAATCAACTTGCCAACATAGGCTATCACATTTATTTTGGTGGCACTCTTTAAGTGATAATAAGTTGTTTTTTCTCTACGGTTGTTTCGCGTGGCGTTCACAATTTCCGCGATGTTCGTATCTTACGTAATTTAGATGTTTAGCTATAAACGGTTTCACTGACTCGAGGTCGTTCCTTAAGCGGTGTTGGTACAGGTTAAACCTTTGCCGACTGTCGGATTCAACGCGCCTACGGCTACGGAGCTTACGCAGAAGTGATACGCAATTCGGTAGAGCTTGTCAAACGCTTTTGAGCTTATAGAATTTGTTCGGTGCGGTCGCGAAATCTTGAAATGATTGATACGTTCTTTAAATTAACTAATTTGATACAAAGCTCAGTAGTAAATAAGTAGAAACCAGGAAACCAAAATTAATCAACTTGCCAACATAAGCTATCACATTTATTTTGGTGGCACTCTTTAAATGATAATAAGCCTTTTTTTTCTCGCTTCGGTTGTCTCGCACGGCTTTCGGAATTCGCGTGGTTTTCGTAACTTACATAATTTAGATATTTCGTTCGAAACGGATTTACTTATTCAATCGCTTTACTACGCGGATGTATCTACGCGCACACGTCACAGCATTTTTTCTATAACTATCTTGAAACAATACATACGGAATCCAGTGTTCAAGCGGCCAACATAGGCTAGTCCTTCTGCTGTATTGTCAAAGATAGAAGCAAAATTTATTCAAATGGGTCAAGTCTTGAAAATTAAGCTGTCACGCAGCTCCAGCTTGATACCCAATAACAAAAAAAAAAGAAGATGATTTTGAAGTAGCCTCCCTGGTACAGTACTACCAAAGTACATAGAATGTCGAATGTTGAGACTTTAGAACAAATATCCAACAAAATAATTAATAATTTCAGGTAATAATCGTTGCAATCCTCAATTGCAACGATTAATTCCCTTTATACTTAGATAAGATTTAGTTTTAGTTTTTAGTTTTAAGATTTCAATTGTTATACTGACAAGCAGGTTAAACAAAACTGAATTACCAAGCAGGAACAATGTAAAAACACTTGGATATATATATCATAACAATTAAGGCTGGTAAGTTACTGTAGTAACTGGAGCACCTAGGTTAAAATGAAATGTTATTTATTTTGATTTTGGAACAAAAAAAGAGTTAAAAAAAATACAATATTCACCTTGGCTGTTGACAGTAGGAACTCCGGATGGTCCAGCGATAGGCTCTTCGGGTGCGGGTTTATACAGTTTGAGGTAGCAATTTCTACATATGAAGGAACTGCCATCTAATTTAACTTTTTTCATCACCGCATGAACTTGAAGAGCTTGGGTAAGATTCCTCTTTAAACAACAACAAGAACACTTAAAATTCATCGTTTATAAAACACTGGCTGTACAGAATATCTTTGGATTAACAGAGCTTTTGTTTCCTTACTGATTATTTCACTTCTCATTTTTAAATATACCACCATGCATTGTACCTACGAACGAACACCTAACCTACCAAGTTTTCTGTATGATTTTAGCATGTGCTTTGTCTAGGTAGCTATTTACTTGTTGAAGTATTCACTTTGAATAAACAAGCCTATAAAAGCAGAAGCAGAAAATTGATATGGATTATACGACTATGTCAGCTATGTCCCAATGTAGACGCAGGGTAATCGTATTGGAGTAATGAGCGAAATTTCTAAACATGATAATTTAAAAAAATCGCAACTCAAAAATGAAGGAAAATACATCGCTGTTTTTTTGATATGTTGTGTAGAAAAGCCTAAATTTAAAATATATATATATAAACGTATTACGCCCATTGTCTACAAACCATGAAAACCATAAAAAAACAAACACAATCAAAGTTTCTTCCAATTTTCAAAATATTTTATATTTTTTCTGAAAAGTATTTTTAGTAACCTTTCATTTGATATTTTGGTCATTCAAATCGGTTCAATGGTTCAAAAGATATGATATAAAAAATGCCATTTTTGGAAAAAATAGAAAAAAAAAATCGTTTTTTTGGACTACCCTAGCATGGAAATGGTCACCCTAATGAGAAAATAAAAAATACGGGTCTAATATTTTTCGATAAGGAACAAAACTACCTATTGTTATGAAATTCTGAGGACCACTATATCGTTTTGCTATGGAATGGATTGGAATATATATATATGTATATTAGACCTGTTCATTTTGTTGGTGGGGGCGATATTTATATACGCCACCACTGCGACACCAACGATAAGTCGACAAACCAGTCGACGAACGGGAGAGAGGAAAAAGAGTTAGTAAAGAACAGAAACGATTTTCAGTTACTTTTGTACCGACCGCGAATAAAGTTTTTTTTCGTACCGAGCTCCGTGTTGCGTTTTCTTTTCTGACGCGTTCACCCGAGTTTCTGATTGCTGGTCGATCCCGTTTTCCCACAGATGACCCGAAGAAAAGTGGTAGTGCGATTTTCCCCCGGGACTGAACATTTTCTGCGAAGTGAAAATTCGGCGTGGGGAAGCGGAGCGTTGAGTCACTGGCGTTGGTTTCGATAGCGTCAGTGGTGTACGGTTGGTTGCCTGTGTGCGTGTGTTGCTCGGTCGTGAGACGGGTGAACAGCAGCAGCTAGAGTGAATTCGCGTGCGTTGGTTGAGGTTATAAACGAATGAAAAAAAAGTTTTCGTCAGTGAGTTCGAGCAAAATCGAAAATGGCTAAGAAACATGTGTTATTTCCACGCCTCAATAACCAGAATAACTCGACGTGACAACTGTGGATGGAGATGGTGTTAAAGCGGGATGAATTGTGGTTCGCGGTGCATGACGCGAAGCTGACACCAGTCGCTCGCGCTTGGACGACAGCACACCAAAAGGCGTAACATCGTGTTGTTTTGTGAGGATAGCCAGCTAAATTTGATCAAGAACGCAAAATCGGCCGTGCTGAAGAAGTTTCACAACAAAGCCGAGATGACATCCCGTGTATCGCTGCTCAGAAGGATCTGTAGCCTGAATATGACGGAAGGAGAAAACGTGGAGAAGCACCTCTTCGAGCTGGAGGAGTTATTTGACCGAGTGGAGTGTGTCGGTCAGAAACTAGAAACACCATTGAAAGTAGCGATGATTTATCGCAGCGTCCCGGAATCATATGGCGGATTGGTGACGGCGATGAAAAGCACTCACACACACTAGCGAATCAATCTTCGAAAAATCTTCAATTATTTCTCGCATCTACTTGCATCGCACATCATCTTTTTGCAGGAAATCTTCAGAATCGTCATCAATCTTCTTTCTATCTACTCAGTGTGCGTGCAGCTAACCACAGCAAAACACAATTTTTCCTGCACCGTAGATAGAGTCGCCCCCTCGGTTGCAGCAGGATAAGAAGAAAGAAGAAGATTCCAGAAGTGACAAGAAGAGAAGTGCGCGTAAAGCCAAACAGGCTGTCGAAACGGAAAACCCGATTTGCTTCACGGTTGGAAGCAATCGGTGCAGCGGTTCGTGGTACGTGGACAGTGGCAGCTCGAGCCACATGACGAACGAGAAAGCCTTTTTTCGGGAACTGAATGAAAATGTGAAGATCGATGTTGTGTTGACCGATGGATCTGTGACCAGATCGGCCGAAATTGGCGAAGATATTGTGAAGTGTGTTGATAATGACGGCCGCGTGAGAGACTTTACCTTTCAAGAGGTGTTGTACATGCCGAACCTGGACAGTAGTTTGTTGTCGGTTCGGAAGTTAACACAAAAAGGACTGAAGGTGGAATTCGGCGCGTCAAGGTTCACAGTGGTGAATATGGAAGGAGAAGTGGTTGCAGTGGCAGTTCTTAGTGGAAACCTGTACGAGCTGAGCGTGGTACAGGATGCACGGCTGAGCAAGGAGGCTCGGCATTCGGAAAGCTGCCAGCACACATGGCACCGGCTCGAACGGGGAATAAACGATGCCAAGGTTCAGGAGGAGCAGGATGAACAGCAGCAGATTCAGGAGGAGAATTCGGAGTTCGAAGAAGAATTTTATGGTTTCGAAACCGAGGAAGAAGATCCCGTCGGCCGAGCCGTTCAAGATCAGAACCATTAAGCTGAAAGTTGTTACAGCAGTTTTCGTTGTTTCAGTCTCGAGATACAAATATTATAAGCCGTAAATTACCTTAAAAACATAAAATTAACTTGAAGCACCTCTAAATCGACACCGATCTTGCTGAAAATTGGCAGAGAAGTTCAAATTAACATGATGAACAGTAATCACGGTTGACCCGGTGCATATATAGTGACCTACACAATACCCTGCAAAGAACCTGGTTCCCTAACAAACAAAACAAATGTGTAAATATCTTGCCGTGCGGATCTATTTGCTTGTTGCTGAAGGAAGTTTTTCTGCTACTTAACGCTACACCTAACGCATTACCTACCAATTTTCAATCATTGCAATGATTGTTGCATTGTTTGGACCCTTCGGGTAATCCGGCTTGGATATCAAATTGGAAAAAAACCTCTTTGCCTTCGCATAACGATAGGAATCTGCTTGGAAGTCGATCGGGAGAATACATCTAAATTTATTTTTATTTATTCCTCTTTGATCCTTGTTTGGACCCTACACGAGGTAATCCTGCGTAATAATCCCGTAACGTGACTAGATCACCTTTTTGTGGTACGTTACGGGATGTAACATCTACCACCGCTTCCTAGTCCTGACTAGGACAAACTGGAGGGCCAGGATTTTTCGCTTCCTTGCGATGAACGCAAGAATAACAACTGTATCAACACCAAATACTTCATCATTTCTTATAGTGATGGAGTAGTTTTTTTTTTCTTTTTTTATTATAGTCACTTTAATACTTTTGGGTCATTCGTGACTTGTCCGGGGTGAGATTTAAACTCGTGACTTTGGCGTGAGAGGTATAGGGGGCCGGGGTCGCCCCCAGTAAAAAGGGTGTATTCGATAAAAATGGCACACACATATTTACTCACCAAAAATAAACCGATTATCGGATTTTCTTGAAATTTTCAGGGAATGAAAAACTACTCCCATCCCGAATGCTCGCACCTTCCTTTTCACTCCACCCATCACATTTTGTACAACCGATTTTCCCAGTTTTTTCTTCAACTCCAGCTCTGTTTTAATAGTTTTGGGATGTTTGCAAAGTTCCGTCTTCATATTTGCCCAGAATTTTTCAATTGGGCGAAGTTCCGGTCAATTTGGTGGGTTCATATTTTTTGGCACAACATTGACTCCGTTGGCTCGGTACCACTCCGACACGTTTCGAGCGTAGTGGCAGGGTCCTAGATCAGGCCAAAACAAAGTTGATCCTTTGTGCTTCCTTATGAATGGTGAAAGACGCTTCTTAAGGCACTCTTCCGTGTAAATCGAAAATCCTCCGGAACATCGAACTTAGACTTGGAAACGAAATATTCTTGCTCAGAAAGTTGACGGAAGTCGACTTTGAGGTGAGTTTCGTCATTCATCACGAAGCAACACGATTTGGTGAGCAGCTTCGTGTAAAGATATTTTGCTTTTCATTCCGGTTCAGGGCTTTTTGCACCTTGTAAACATGTAACCCAGCACGCTTCATGGGTTTCTGCACAAAATCGACTGACACCTTGGACTTTTTAGCGACATCTTGAATTGACATGTGTGGACGGTTCTTGAACTGTTGCACCACTTTCCTGGCCATTTTACTGTCCATTGGACCACTTTTACGACCAGTCTCTTCATACCTTCGGGCACTCATACGCTCCTTGAAGGTTCTTATCGTACGAGGCACAGTTTTATTTGCAATTCAAACTTTTTAGCCATCCATCGGTGGGATGCCTCAGGATTTTGATTGTATATAAGTGCACAACACTTTTTTTCGGACAATTTCTTGTTTCGAAGTCATGACTGGTACTACTGTATGTATAGTAGACTGATGCAAAATTTAACTTTTTCGCTCCACAGTGCTTAAATGGTTTCCAATCGGGTCGTGATTAGCCTCCAAAAGTTACAACTCATTTGGTTAGAAACAGACTTCGCACAAACCATTTGAAGTTTACATGTAAATTACTATGGGAAATCTCAACTTTTTGTTCATTGCCTTCTAGTCTTTTTCCGTATTGAGCTGCAAAACAGCTCGATAGCTATTCTTATAGAAAAGCTACAACTTTGCTGAAGATTATTTCTATGAAAAACGAGACAGGAAATAGTTATTAATTATTTAAGAGATTGGTAAACTTATGACATGATCAAGCAGCTGCTCTGTAGGCAACACTGTATTTTGCAGTGTGACATAGTAGCCATAATTTTTGTGTCCTATTCAACGCCCCAGAAACACCAATGTTGCCTGCTGAGCAGTTGATTGAGCATGATCATAAGACATCAGTGCATTGAACCATTAATAACTTTCGATCCTTGCATTTAATAAAAAAGTAGTTTTCAACAAAGTTGTAGCTGGGAAAATTTCCTACAAGTGCAGTTGAAAACTTTTGAAGAAGACTGATATGGTAAATTATTAGATAGACATGAACAAAAATCTTGGTTTTACCATAGTAATTCCCATACAAACTTCAAATGGTTTGTGCCATCTCAGTTTCTCACCAAATGGGTTCAAATTTTGAGAGGTTAGTCAAGATCCGATTTGGAATCGTTTAAGTACTGCGGAGCGAAAATTTCAAATTTTGCATCACTCTAATGTATAGCTATGAAACTTGGCAGATGTTAACAATACACTACACTCATAAAATTCGACACATTTTTATTGGCGAATTTCCATGTAAAATTCCACATGATTTTCATGTGTCCACACATAAACAGAATCCACTCAGAAGTACATATTAAATTTATGAGTCAAATGAATAGTATGTGTGGTTACACATGAATTGTATGTGTACACATAACAACTATCTGTACGACACATATATATCATTTGCTTATCACATTGCAAAAATTCATGTGTGGGACACATAAAACTAATCATTGAATTTTTATTAGTGTATGAATAATATTTACTCAAATTTTCTGTTTTTTACTCATACGGTTCAAAAGTTATAGAAGATTTTCGGTGTGCCATTAATATCGAATTCACCTTTTAAACTAAGCGGCGCTGGTGGTGTTGTGGTAAGTGTGGTTGCTTCTCACCCCAAAAGGCCTGGGATCAATCAACCATACTTTTTATTGCATGGGAAAAAATGATGAAATTTTGAGTAAAACTAGTTTATAGTGTAATTTTTACATGTGCAAAATCTCGTGGCAATCTGTTAAGTGGTTATCGAGATGGCTTCCTAGCAAGAAGTGCTTCGACAACAAATTATGGGAGCGGGTCGTGGAAAATCCATGCCAGTTCCACAGGTGGATCGCGGAACAGTTTGGAATCGACAATTCAACCGTTTTCCGTGTGATAAAATCGTTCAAGGAGACCCAGACGACCCAACGGCAAACTTGCAGCGGAAGAAAAGCGAAGACGACCGACCCCGTGAACGCAAGGAAGGTGAGGGATTACTTCAAGCGCAATCCGAACCTTCATATTCGGGACGTGGCCAAGAAGGTCAATTGTACCGTCTGGTTCGTCCAGCAGACAATGATGCTTGCCGGACTTCATGTCTTCAAGGAAAGGAAGGCGCATAACTGAACCGATAAACAGAATACATTGGCCAAATCCTGCGCCAGGAAGCGCGAGTGGTTGGTGTAGCCGAAATGCATCGTAATGCACGACGAGATGTACATTAAAGCGGACACCAAGCAGATCCCCGGCCTGGAGTTTTTTGTCGACAAGTCCTGCATGGATGTTCCGGAGAAGTTCCGGAAGAAGAAGGTCGATAAATTTGCCAAAAATTTGTACTTAGTGCGGCAGCCGATCTGTGAGTGCGGCAAATTCAGCAAGCCGTACATAACGACCGGCACCATCAACGGCCAAATATATGAAGAAAAATGCTTCCAGAAGCGCCTGCTGTCCTTCATCCAGTCCCACGAAGGTAACACTGTTTTGGCCGGAATTGGCATGGTGGTCGTGAAACCGGTGATAGCGTGGTACGAAGCTAACGGTGTTGTTTTTGTGCCTTTGCAAAAACATAGTTGATACGTGTTTGAGAGTTTCAAAAATATCCGACTTAAAATGAATGTTTGGTGATAATGAATTTTTTTCGAGACAGTCTTTACAATTGATCAAATTGCTGGCCTCTGTGGTTTTATGTCCCGAACAGAGAAAAACCCTGTTTGGATATCGTAATATATAGTAATCTGCTTGGAAGTCGGTTTGAAGAAACTTTATTCTTCCGCCATGGCGCCTGAGCGCTAAAGAAAAGAACAATATCTCTATAAACCTTTTCAGGAGAAAATCATTTAAGCAATCAATTTGATATGCTCACGAATGATGAGAATGATCCAGCATCCAGGCAACATTCGAATAAATTTTCCCGGTTTAATGCCAAAACGAAAAGGTCTACTCTATTGTGGTAACAACTTCCGATTTCCATACTCTTTGTACGGAACTTTTGAACTTTGTTAAATTCAAGTTTTCACTTTAAATCGGCCGTCGGGGTGAATTCCGTGTATTGGCTGAAACCTCGGACAGATTCAAACGTCTTCTCAGGTATCTTACTCTGAAGCAACAACAGTTTTTTTTTACTTTCGAAGCCAACTTGAACGTCTGTCTAGAACGACTTGTCTAGAAAGGTCTGCCCAGTGGTGAATCCCTGGATCGGATCAAAGATTAATTGACAAAATTACCTGGAGCTGAGCCAGTCCAAGTAATCAAATTGAAAATCTCACCCAGTGCCGTAAGTGACATGGTTGGGGTCACGGAACAAAAAATGATGCATGCCAGCTAAATGCATGAATTGGGTGATTTTTATCACGCAAAGGACTTCTGCCCTGTGAAGGAAGGTCCTAAAAAATTTAAGTGTTCAAATTGCGGTGAAAATCAAAATCTATGTTTTTGGGAATGCAAGACTCGCAAAGCGATCTTACAATCTCGTACTGAGCGACAGGTAGGAAACGCTCAACTTTCCCAACCAGGTACTAGCTCCTTAACTGTTAACAGCGGCCAGCGAGGAACAAATTAAACATTCGTACCCGTAGCCGGGCCGTAGGTACAGACAGTGCACAATTCTTCATAAATACCCGCTACTAACAATGTTCAGCAAGTAAAGAAAACTACCTATTCTGACATCATAATTCTAACCAAAACTTAAATGATCTTAATCAAATTAAGACATCGATAGGATTACTGATAAGCTGAAAACTTACTCCAAGTTTGATGCAATTCAAACTGGAGTTAAATTTGCAAATAATATAGACATGACCCTGAAGTCATTTCGAAATCTGGAAGTGTGTTTGCAGTACCATTATTCATATGATAACGGTAGTGTTTACATGCGGGGCTTATTGTATGTGAAAGTAACCTCGGAATGGACGTGAATTACCAGGCATTCTTAAATGGGTTGCTGAATCTGCAGTAGAGCTATCGCTTTCTAGCTCCCGGACTAAACTTGCTTTAAATTATTACATCAAGGATTGTTGTAAGCAAATTTCTTCCATAATACCACTGCCGGCAAGTGGGGGTTAGATTGAACACACACACACAATATAGACATGACCCTGAAGTTCAGTAATGGGTTTCAAATTGTTGAATATTTTGTATTTGAATTGTCGATTTCTTCAAAATAATATGGACGAGCTTTTAAATGTTTTACGAGTTCATAACGTGCATATTGCTGATATAACTGAAACTTGTCTCAAACCTTTTTTACCAAATAAAAATAGAACATAATTATTCGGTGTACCGTAATGATCGCCTTGATGGAGCTGGTGGTGGCGTTACCATCATTGTTTATAGGCGTATCCCATCAAATTCTTTCTTCATTTGAAACCAAAGTTTTGTGAAACTTTGGGAGTTTCTGTCGAAACAACTTTTGCACAACTTACGTTTATTGCTGAATCTACGCTCTTCACCTGGAAAATAATAAAATGTAAATTAAATATAAAATACAACCACACTATAAAATTATATCAACCTGATATTTCTCTACCTTGAATTGTAACCACACATTCATCCGCACTCACTCTTATGTACACTCGTTATCATGCTCTAACACTCGTTATCATACATTCTCATCCCTGCACAATGTAAACGAGAGATCGAAATATAATTTAGTTACTATCAGACCAGCAAAGCCATCGTACGTTTTCCACGCTAGTCCGAAAATATCACCGTCGCAAATTTTAATGTCGGTGTAACTTGCCGGTGGGCAAGTAGTTTCCCGAACAACATTATTGGTGCCGAAACCCGGGAGTTGTGGTCCCGGATTGTCGTGTCGGTGGCGCATAGGACCGTGTCCGCGAGTGTACCACGCTTATCGTCGCGTTTTCGTGTCGTCCACGACGGCAAGGTGTATTTTATTCAGCACCTATTGTTTGGCCCAAAAGCAACCACGTTGTTAATTGTGTGTCGCCATCGAGAACGATCGAGAAGAAACCATTGTGACCATACAATAGTTAGGCAACAACCACGTCGCTTAGTGTTTTTGACTTCCCACGGACGGAGTGTTAATTGTGGTACGAAGAGGATCATTCACTGCCAGGGTGTGAAAATAAAGTACCGCTTCTGGTCGAAAATTCACGTCCCGCTGGGTGGATCTGGACTTTTCTGCGGTAGATGTAATCAAGTGGAAATGCTGGTGCACGTCCGAATACGGACGCCATCGGTGTTTCCAACCTACAACTGCTGTCGATCGCACTGGTGTATGCTCATCGTTTACCGGTGGATATCGTCGTTATCGCCGCCATCATCATCACTGCTCACGGCACGTAAGAAGCCGTCATAAGGTAACAATTTTCCATTTTTTGTTAGGGAATCATGGCGCCGACCAAGAAATTTAGTAAGGTGGCTAAATTAAAGACGCTTTACCGCCATCGTTCGAACATTGTAAATTCGGCGGAGGTTATCCAGGCCTTTGACGATGCGTATGTCCCGGATCAAGCTAACCAACTGCCAATAAGAATTCAGCATTTAGATGAAATGTGGCGCGAATTCCAAGCGATTCAAGACCACATCGAAGACAGATGAGCCGGATGAGGAATTTGGTGAAGATAGGCGAGAATTCCAGAATCTTTACTACGCGGTGAAAGCGTCCCTAGCAAGCAAGGTTCCTCCATCTCCTCACCCGTTACTACCACCGGCAGTTAGAAACCCCCAACTCCCATTGTCGGTGCCAAATCTCCGTATCCCTGAAATAAAGCTTAAGGAGTTTTCTGGCAATTTCGACGAGTGGGAATCTTTTAGCGATCTCTTTACCTCGCTGATCGAGTCAAACCCGTAGTTGACCATGGTACAGAAGCTGTACTATCTGCGAGCTTCAGTTATTGGCGAAGCTGCCCCCATGATTTCCTCCCTCGATATTATCGCTAACAATTATCCGGTTGCATGGAACTTGTTGAAAAACCGGTTTGACAATAAGCACATGCTGATAAAAAGGCATATGGCTAGCTTGCTTTCTTTTTTTTTTAAATTCTTTATTTAAGAGATTTTTAGCCTTAGGCTAGTTCATCTCTATAGCTTGCTTTCTATTTCTCCCCTAAAGAAGGAAACAGCGACCGGTCTGGTGGATTTGGCAGATAAGTTCAACCGCCATGTCCAGCTTGTGGATAAACTCGAGGACGTCGAAGAGCACTGGAACTTGTTCTTGGTCGAACGGTTGAGTAGCTGTCTCGATCCCACATCACTCCGTGAATAGGAGACTCAATCGGCGGGGAACGACAAGCAAACATACAAACAAATCCTCGAATTCATCCAAAAGAGATCACGCATCTTGCAAACCCTACAGCTCTCCCAGCTTAGCAGCAGTTTTCAAATCGAAAGTAAGCCCAAGCCTTGTGTGTCTTCGGCTCACGTGAGCACTTCGAGAAGTGCCAGGTGCATCTGTTGCCAGCAACCACATTTACTTTTCCTGTGTGACAAGTTCCTAAAGCTCACGAACACCACACGAACGGTTCGATCTAGCCAAGAAGCATAGCCTCTGCATCAATTGCCTGAAAGGGGTTCATTTGGCGAAAGACTGCTCCAGCGGTGCATGTAAAACATGCGCAAAAAAAAACACCACACGTTTTTGCATCTGCCATCGCTAACAACGTCTACAGGCGGATCTGGCGGCCGTCAGTCGCTGCCGGTATAACAAAGCTCTTTCGCGGAATCGAACCGCTTACAAAATAGTCCACCGTCACGACTCGGTTCGGTACAAAGCTCTCGGTCGGTTGAGCTTTCGAATACCTCACCACTCGTGTCGTCGTTTCGCGAATTGTCGTCCGCTCTCGGTTACGAACTTCCCTCGTCGTCGGTAGTATCGTCCGCCTCAAATTTGCCTCCTACTGCCTGTCAAAGTGCTGAGTTAATCCAGCGGTGAAATCCCAACACCGTGCTACTTTCTACCGCTGTGATTAAGGTCCTGGATGCGGACAATAAGTACCAGTACGCTCGTGCACTCTTGGATAGTGGATCCCAGCCCAGCTTCATCTCGGAAGCACTGTGCCAGAGACTTAACTTGAAGCGGACGAAGCTCAACTCTCCGGTCAGTGGTATCGGACAGTCTTTGGTCAACGTACACTACGGCGTAACTATGTCGATTGCCTCTCGTTTTGGCATCTTCATATCGAGCCTCGAATGTTTGGTCTTACCAAAACTTACGGATTCCACGGCATCTTCAACTTGCGGATCCGCAGTTCAACTTCAGCCAAGGAGTGGATGTAATCATCGGCGCTGAGCTTTTCTATTCTTTTCTGGAAAATCAGCAGATTAGTCTCGGTACGGATTATCCAATCCTTAAAAAAAAACCGTTTTCGGTTTCATCATCTGCGGCAAGGTCACGGAACAAACCGCCACGGGAGTCGTCGTGCAGTCCAGCCATCTCTGCACCGACGAGTCGCTTGATTCTCAGTTGGAAAGGTTCTGGGAGATTGAGAATCTTGACAAGAAAAAAATCATTCATTCCGAACGAGCAGTTCTGTGAGCAACATTTCCAGAAAACTGTCTCAAGGGACAAGGATGGTCGTTACATAGTTCGTCTGCCGTTGCGGAAAGAGCTGGTGCCCCTTATGGGTGATTCATACACTCCTGTACTTCGTCGATTACTGTCGATGGAGAAGAAGTTTGCAGTTGAACGCAAAACACCGCTCATGGAATAATGCTCAAAGTAAATCCAATTTTGATGATCTGTTTGATGATTGATCTGCAGGTTTTTTTTTCCTCTGTTCGGGACATAACACCACTGCGACCAGTAATTTGATCTATTGTAGTATATCCCGTGTCCTTAGTTTAGTGCATGTCGTATTACTCCATCACTATTGAGAAATGATGAAGTATTCGGTTTTGATACAGTTGTCATTCTTGCCTTCATCGCAAGGAATCGATTCTAACTGAATGGTTCCGCTATTTATACACTTCGGAGTTGGAACACCCTCCAAAGGCGCGCCCCTTTGTCAGTCAAAATTGGATTCCTTAACAACAAAAACAAGCTATGACACCGATAATGACCATGCATCAGAACCCTAGTCTTAACCACTTCAAACTAGGGAACAACGATTAGAATATTAGGAATCACATAGGTGAAGACTAACTAACTCATTTTTTCCTTGTTTCAAGATCATCCTCGGTCCAGGCAACCCGAGGACTTATCACTATCAACAAGGCATAAAAAAGTAACAAGGACTAAGATGTGTTCCTTTGATTACTGAAAAATCCTGTTCCCCTAGTTTGAAGAAGTTAGGACTAGGAATCGGTGGTAGATCTTACATCCCGTAACGTACCACGAAAAGGTGATCTACCCACGTTACGGGGCGATCTGCAGGTTACACTATTCAATATGCAAACAGCCCTTTGATCCTAATATTCCTTGCAAGCCAAAGATATGTTAGAAAAAATGCTCATGAATCTCTAACCAGGGTTGAAAATTCTCTGGGGAGAATCACCCGGGTGCAAGAGATATCATTCTCTGGGGTGAATCTCTGCTTGTCTCCTCGGAGATTTTTCCTGGCACCACTGGAGAGATTGTTAGACACAGCACGAGAGAGTGAGAATGTTGACAGTTCACTGTTTGTCTGTTTATACACTCACTTCCATGAGAAAGATGGCAGTGCAAATGCGTTATTGTTTCTCCAAAGATACCGGCAGGGCTTGACGGGAGTGAGTGAAAACATCAATAAGAATGGTTGAAAAACGTATACAAGGGGACAAAGTGCAATGTTTTTTCACGAAGAAAAATGTGCGGTTTGAGGACGGTACCGCAAAGGTGGTTGTGAATGTTGTGCTTTGCAGGGCAAATGGAAAAACATTCAAAGTGGTCACGGTATTCAACTTGAAGCGGCATCTAGATCGCTGCTACTCTCTACATTTTCGCTGCAGCTGGTGACGGCATTCCAATTGCCTTCCTCTCGACACATTTCATCGACGACATTTGTCAGTCAAAGACCTCATGCTCCGGCGTTTCATCCACGTTGGCACACTCCGAACAGAGGGGTGACACTGCGTGTCCAAACCGATGCAGGTACTTCCTGAAGCAGCCGTGGCCAGACAGGCACCGCGTTAGGTGGAAGTTGACGTCTCCGTGTTTTATGTTCACCCAGGTCGAAAAAATCTGTATTAGTCTACGTGTTCATCTACCGTTATCCACCGTGTTCCACTCCTGTTGCCACTTAGCCAACGACTCCGCTCTCACAACTTTCCGTACTCTTCCGGCTTCTCTCCACCTGTAGCACTCGCTGTCCTCCGCCAGGGTGACGCCGCTTTGAGGTTATGGCATGCCTCCGACGGTGATATCTGCCCGCTGTACCGCTTTACAGTAACTGACCAATAGCACTTCCGTTTTACGATGGACTATCTGCAGCTTCGCTCCTTGCATCCAGTTACCAATCATGTCGATAGCCTCGGTGCGCTGATGCTCTTCCCGTATTTGCATTTCCAAAAGGTGTACATTATTATTTCACTAAATTTTAAAATAATTGGCTTCATACGTTACGTTAATAGAAAAGGTAACCTTTAAAAATCTTTGTATGCAACAAAATAACAAACAAAGTCTTCATCGGGGTGATTATCCCCCGTGAAGCAAACGAATTCTCTACGGTGCTCCCTAGTGATCACTCATACGCACCGGTGTGTTGGACTGGTGGAGGTGCGAGGTCAGAAACTGTATTTGTTTGCGAAGTGGGAGAAGTGGTAGAAAGTGAAAACAAAATAAAGATCTCTCGGGTGAGTTTGCTTTTGTCATAGTGCGAGGTGTCTTTTCAAGTCATCACCCTACTCACACTGATGAGAATGGCATCCCTGTCTCTAACTACTTCTATAGTTGAAGCAAGAGCTGCCTATTAAAATCGATTCGATTATAATAGACGATGATCTTCCCTCCCCTTGGCTAGTTTTTGCACCTTGTTGCTGGTGGGCGGGCTTAATTTCATGCTTTATAGTGGAGTGTTAGAGACGGTAGGTTTATGGCCGGCGTAGCTTGCTCATGCCGCGATAGAATGGCGCCATGGGCCGGCGTAGCTTGCTCATGCCGCGATAGAATGGCGCCATGGGCAGGCAACGGGGATTGCTAAACCCTCGCTGATGAACCACTGCATGAGAGAATCAAAAATCTAGTCTGGCAGTGATAGTATCACACGTGTTACTCATTTGTTTCAGAACCGCGCTGTAGTACGCTTACGTATAGGCACTGACGTTGGGTGCGATACTGGCGGGTTTTCCCGCAAATCCCTCTTATTTTTTTTAAATTTTTACGCAGATAGATTTATTTGGGTTTAAAAGGGAATTATACTATTGAAATATTTCAGAAAGTGCCCAACAGTGCTCCTTCTATTTGCGTGCTAAACTTTCATTGTTTTTTCTTTGAAGTATTATTCAGGGAACAATGTTAAATACCATTTTTCTACATGGTATTGGAACTAATCTTATATATGCTTCATTTTGATTTGGGATAAGTGTTTGAACTATGGCTCGAGATTTCCACTGTGGCGTGCGTCTATTGTGACATACCCATACTTATTTTTGTGGTGCGAAATAGTGAAAACGTGTGAGCGTAATTGGAGCATATACCTTATATAATTTAAAAATCAGCTAGGAAACTAACTTCAACGTGAAGCATTTAAGTCACTTGTAGGTGTCACCTGGGACGAACTAAGATATAATAAATATAGGTCAAAGTCAAAAGTACTTGAAACACGTTAAATTTTAGATTACAACCACAAGTGCAGATACCTTATAAAGCATGGATTATGATTGATTCGGTAGATTAGAGATTTCAATTATTGATTAAATTTGACTAATGTGATGTCATAATCATCAAATGAACTTATATAAGAAAATTCAGAAAGTTTAATAACATTAAGTAGATTAACAAAAGAGTTCGGATGTGGGAAGTCCGCTTACACACTTAATCTAGCTCGGTAAAATCTCCAACAGCCGATTACCGATCACTTTTGCTGATACCTCTGCAAAATATCTGTTTGTTAGCTGATATCTCAGCAAAATGTTATTTGTTAGCTGAGACTCAGCAATTGTTTGACTGAATCTCAGCAAAATAAATTGCAGAATTACTCGGCTGTTGGAATCTCGGCGAAAAAATTTAAGTGTGTAAGGAGGCAACTAGCCTTTAAAGTTGTAGAATAAATCTTCTTATTTAGTACATTCGTTAATAACAGGCAATATCAATAGTGAAAGTAATATTCGATCACGCGCTTACGCTTAGGTTTAGGGAAGGATTTGTTAAATATGTTGATATATTTGAGGTGAGAATTAGGATAGGCTATGTAAACTTATATCTTTTGAGCATATTTTCGAAAATCAAATAATATTTTGAAGTCACAATTTTACAAATTTATTTCTAGTAGGTAAATCACATTTTAAAAATCACTAACAATCTCTTTCAATCTCTTTGATTACAATCATCATTAAAGTAAAAATATTAAAGCAAACTTTAATATAACTATAGATAATAATTTAGTTTAGGAAATAAGTAAAATAAGAGGTATGTGATAATTATTAACTTTTAATTTTTTGTAGGTATTGTTTTCCTCTGACTTTATTTTACTCGATTACAGCTATCCCCGAAGAACGCGTTACCCACTGAGTTGGAATTTTCTATATCATCAAAACACTTTCTGTTTTTTCAATTAGTTTTTTTTGTTAGACTCAAATGTCCAAAAAGGCTCCACAGAGCCGAGACCATTAAATAGTTTTATAATTACCGTAAAACGGGGTAACATTGATATTTTTAAAGTATTTTCTAAATATGTTTTACAGCAATGAATGTCTTTCAAATTTTATATTTTTATAACAAGTAGGGGAAACGTTCCTATAGTTGCGGTACGTTAAAAGCGTTAGGCTCCTATAGTTGTGCATGGTTACTCAATACACAACTATAGGAACCTAACGCTTCTAACGTACCGCAACTATAGGAGCGTTTACCCTACTGAGGATCCAAGAGGTAATTCGTTTGTAATATGTTTAACGGAAATTAAAGCATTTACACAATTTTTTTCAGTTTGGTGACCGAACTTCAGTATTTTGATTTGGGGTTACTTTGATAGTGCACGATGAATGTAGAAAAAAATGGGTGCAACTCAAACAATTTAGTTCTTTAAACACGAAACTTTGAATGAGTATATAATCAGAAAACATCATAAGCAATAAGAATACAACATTGAATTTGTTATGGCTATATCGGAAAAAAACAACATTTCATAAGTGATGATTTGAGTGCTTTTTCAAACAGGCGAAAACACGAAAATGGTTTTTTATTATGTTTGTAAAAGATGTTACACATACTAGATACAAACTATATACGATATCAACGGAAAAACCCTAAGCTACAATATGAAACCAATGTTTCGAAAGTGGAAAAAGCGCAGCGAGTAAATTTAATCTTTATATTATACTATCAAAGTTACCCACATTATCAAAGATACCCCGTTTTACGGTTCTTTTAAATATTAATGAGGGACATTGTTTATGAGTTATTCTTACTCTTCCCGGGAAGCGACTTGAGTTTAGCTTCCGCTTGCATCCGTGTAGTAATACGAATCATTTTCATACTTGAACATATGTGGATGCTGTTTCTCAGCAGCGCTTGCTTTGCCTCCACTGTTCTCCTCGGTGCCCGTGGACGTCACATGCTTCACCACCACTTCTACTTCCAGGACCTCAACCACTTCCTCGTTTGGCTATGTACCTACCTCTAGTCGCTACACTCGCGTACGTACTGGTATTGCTGTCTTCCTCATTCCGTTGTTGGGTTTCTTCTTTCGTTCGTTGTGGTACTGGCTGCTTCCGATCCTTCCGCTTGGGACAGGAATCCATCCGATGGCCTTCCGTCTTACCAAGGAAGCACACATTTTTGTTCCCTTTGATATACAGCTATGCCCCGAAGAACGCGTTAGCCACTGAGTTGCACCCACCGCTTTTCCTCGGCGGGGTTTCAACCCGCCGGTCTGATTTTTTGCATGTGAGTAGTGCCAATGGAGAACTCGAGGGGCACGCAATACAAAGAACCGGTGCGTTAAAGTTAAAATGCAATCAAAAGTACTAAAAGTAGTTAATCCGTTTTGAAGTAGTACTGACGGTAATTAAAATTATCTATCCGTACTTAATGTAATTAAAAGTATTGCAAATGTACTTTAATTACGAAAAGTCGACTGTAATTAATGGACTTAAAAAGCAGTCAATTTTCTACACTGTGCAATTAATGTAATTAAAGCAGTAGTGAATGGAATTAATTTAATTACGCAGAGCGCTTGGTTGAAAACCCACCGAGAAAAAGCGGTGGGTGCAACTCAGTGGGTAACGCGTTCTTCGGGG